GGCGGAACTGCTACGAAGGTTAGGAACAAGCCATATTTGGGCCCAATGGACGCACAATAAATCAGAGTTCACAGACCAATGGCCTGCATTTTGCCCACACGGTGCATTTTTTTTTCTAAACTTGAATTTGTTGCCAACATTTAAAGGTCAGGAGAGTGCACATAAAAGACTGCATTCCTGGCCTTTCTTTTAAAAAGTCAGAAGATTTCACAACACTGGACCGCACGGTTTCACGGCGACAATTGGCTGCCCTGTAGAGCTACGTGGCATACTTTGCCACAGTCCCCACCAGGCCTTCCTGTGGCACACCCAGCCCACTCCTCTCATTCTGTTAATTGCTCAGTACCGCTATGTATTTGGGTTTGCAATCCTTGTCACAAATACAAGTCTTTCTTCCATCAGATTAGAGGCAGGGCGCTGGTGGGGAGTTGCGGAGGGGGGGCAACCAGCCCATTGCAGACCCTCCCCCAGCCCGCTGCCCACACAGGCTTCTGGGCAGGCATTGTGAGGGCCAGGCAGGGCTGTCCCTCCTTCTCCTCCCTCCCTTCCCTGTCCTGAGACTGAATTCCCAGAAAACGGCCCTCAGAGCTCATCGCAGAAACTCCCCTACTCGTCACCACTCATCGCTGCTCTGCAGAGCAGTTTCCTGGAAGAATCCATCGGGTTTCCCCGAAAATGTTTCTGGTCATCTTCTCAGTCCGTGACTGCAATTCATTACTCTCCATGCCCATCATTAGTTTAATGGGCAGTCCTTGCGTGTCTATCTACAGCTGACATTTGAGACGTTTTGCCATGTGAAGCCCGAGAGGCCAGTAGCATAGGCAAGGCCATGGGGATGAGGCAGGTGGCCGTCCGAAGAGCCCCCAGGTGGAAGCAAGAGATGAGCCCTGGTCCTTTTTCTCCAACTGACTGGGCTGGTCCATTTCTTTCTTTAAATGTGTTTTTATTGATGAGAGAGAGAAACAATGAGAGAAACATGAATTGGCTGCCTCCTGCATGTCCCCTACGGGGGATCAAGCCTGTAACCCAAGCATGTACCCTGACCAGGAATCCAACCAGCTACCTCTTAGTGCAGCGGTTCTCAACCTGTGGGTCGTGACCCCTTTGGGGGTTGAATGACCCTTTCACAGGGGTCGCCTAAGACCATTGGAAAACACATATATAATTACATACTGTTTTGTGATTAAAATCACTATGCTTTAATTATGTTCAATTTGTAACAATGAAGTTGGGGGTCACCACAACATGAGGAACCGTATTAAAGGGTCATGGCATTAGGAAGGTTGAGAACCACTGAATTAGTGCATGGGACGATGCTCAACCATGGAGCCAGGGCTGGTTCCCTTCTTTTTCTAGCCTTGACTTTTCCACGGAAAGGGCGAGTATCTCATGGCAAACAAGGGCCTGGGTGCTGGGATCAGACCCGTAGAGTTCAGAGCTCAGCCCTGCCTCTCACTAGCTGCATGACTTTGGGGAAGTGACTTAGCCTCTGCGAATGAGCTTCAGTCTCCTCATCTGTGAAATGGGATCATAATATTATTTACCACCTAGAACTGTAATAACACAATGAGCCAATATATCCAAAGCACTTCGCATCGTGCTGGGTACTCAGTCATTTCTTGAAACATTAGCTGGCGATGATGATAATATTAAGGATATGGAGGGGAAGGCGGGGAGAGAAGAAATGGAGGTTGTATGAAATCCCTGGGTGCCAAACTGTGGGAGTCATGCAGTTGGAGGGGGAGGAGGGGATACAGCTACTTTTGATATTTCTAAAAGCTTAATGGGGCTCTCACATCTACTTACCCAGGATAAAGCCACACAAGATACCAGGAATGGCAACTTCCTTTGCTTTTGGCTGAAATGACATCCTAGTATACTCCTGGGGGTAAGCTAAGAGACTCTGGAGCTAAATGAACCTGCACTCAGATCCCCGGGAGGGTGTCTGACCCTGAGTAAAGAGAGTAAGGTCCAGACAGAGAGACGGACAGCACCGACTTGAAGGGCAGTGCTGAGGGTTAAATGAGATGCTGCATGGAGAGCATTCAGCCTGGCTCTGGCTCAGTACCTGACAGCCACCATGACCAACAGCCTTCTTCCGCCTGCCTGGGCCTCAGCTTCTGCCCCGGTAACATTAAAATCATACACCTGCTTTACTCCTTCGACGAACAGCCACTGAGCCAAGGACTGTGAATGCAAAAGAGGAACCACAGTTTGCTGCTGCTTACTATCCATCCCTTCAGCAAATATTGTTACTGAACACCGAGTATGTAACAGGCTGCCCAATGGGCATCAGAGATACCATGGATAGTAAAGCAAATTCAGTTCCCAACTGCCTGCAGACTCATAGCCTAGAGCAGTGGTCGGCAAACTGCGACTCGGCAAACCGTGGCTCACAAGCCACATGCGGCTCTTTAGCCCCTTCAGTGTGGCTCTTCCACAAAATACTGGCTCTTCCACAAAATACCGACTTCTGCACATGGGCCACGAAATTTCAATCGCACTGTACGTGCGCACCTGCACGTGGTATTTTGTGGAAGAGCCACACTGAAGGGGCCAAAGAGCCGCATGTGGCTCGCGAGCCGCGGTTTGCCGACCACGGGTCTAGAGAAGGTGTGGTACATAAACTAGTGAGATGCCTAGCCTGGTAGATGCTCAATAAATACAAATAATCAGAGACTGTGATGCGTAACTTTGAGATCGTTAACTCATAAAAAGTATTGATTTCTTAACCCATGAAAATTGTTGGTTAGACGGGGACTTTGAAACTATGAGGGAAGTCCAAAGGCAATCAAATACCCATTATACACTTTACCAAAACAAGTAGGAGCTGTATTGCTGAAAATTACAACAAGCTGATTTAAAAAACAAAGAGGAACTAAACCATTGCAAAGGCATAGTGTGTCCACAGAATGGAAGACACACATAGTACAGATGTCAAATTTCCCCAAAGTGACCTGTAGGTTTAATGCAACTCCTATCGAAATCCCAGGCGGCAAGGTTTCCTGCAGGCACAGGCACCTTAGTCTGAAGTTTGGAAAGGAATGGGCCCGAGAAGTTCTAAAACCATCTTGGGAGAAATCGCTCTACTCAATATCAAGATCACGCGTTACTATTGGTGCAGGGATCAATACACAGATCAATGAACAGCGTCGAGTACCCATTCACTAAACACACACAGATATGCTCGATTTGACATGGGTGTGAGAGCAATTCAAAAGAGGAAGGACAGGGTTTTCCACAAAAGGTGCTGGAGCAACTAGACATCGCTCAGCAAAAACAAAAAACCACACACATAAAAATACCCTTTGATCCAAACCTCACACCTTCTACAAAAATTAACTCCTAATAGATCATGGACTGGACTGTCAAGTGTAAAGCAAAAAACTCTCTTTTTTAAGATAGGAGGAAAATCTTCTGTTTCTAGGGCGAGGCACCAAGTTCTTAGACTTCAAACACACACACACACCCCACATAAAAGAAAAAATGGATAAGCTGGACCTCCTCAAAATGAAAACTTTTCTTTGCAAAAGTCCACATGAAGAGGATGAGGAGACAAGCTACAGGCAGAGAGGAAATATTTACAAAGCACAGGTCCTCAAAAGGATAGACAAAGGACTCACAAAACTCTGTCCTAAAAAAAAACAAAACTAATCCAATTAGAAAATGGGCAGGAGACATAAACAGACTTGGCACAGAAGAGGAGCTGCAGGTGGTGACGAAGCACATGAAAAGATGGTCAACATCCTTAGCTCTCGGGGAGATGCCAACTAAAACCACAAGGAGATGCCACCATTCACCTGTCAAAACGCCTAAAATAAAAAACCAACGAGAACACCAAGTGCGATTGAGGATGAGAAGAAACCAGATCACGCATGTGCCGCTGAGGGGCATGTACAACGGTAGAGCCGTTCTGGAAAACTGACAGTTTCTTACCAAACTCCCAGGCAGTTACCTGGGAGGAACAACCCAGCAACCGCCCTCTTAGGCATTCCAGAGAAACGGAAGCTTTGGTTCACACAAAGTCCTGTACAAGTCTGTCCCTCTCAGCTTTACCCATAAGAGCCCCAACCTGGAAGCAGCCGGGTGTCCATCAGAGAGCGAAGAGCTAAAGTTAACTGCGGTCCCCGCGCGCCATGGAGTGCCACGCGGCAACGAGGAGGAGCAGATGCCCGATGCCCGGATCCCCAGGGAATCCTAACTACAAAAAGCCACCCTCCAAAGCTCACGTGCTATTTGATTCCCCTGATGTGACATTTTTGAAAAGGTAACATTTCAGAAATGGAGGACAGATCAGTGGTTGCCAGGAGTGAGGCACCGTGGGGGAGGGCGCCGGAGGGAGGGGGCCGGTATGACAGGCAACACGGGGACCTCTGGTTTTGGAACTCTGGATCTTGGCTGTAGTGGTTGGTGAATACACAGACCTGCCCATGTGACAGCATTATTTGGAATTAAAGGCGCACACACCCGCATGAGGACCAGTACAACAGATCTGAGCCAGGTGGCTAGGTTATGTCGGCGGCAACATCCTGGCTGTGACCCCGTACGCGGCGATGCTGCCCTTGGAGGGACGTGAGTGAAGGGCACACGGGATCTCCTCTATTTTTTCTCTCTGCTGACGTGAATCTAAAATTATATCCATAAAAATTTCAGTTTAAAAAAGCTTTTTATTGTTTTGTATTTAATAACGCGTATTTTATTAAAAGCTTGCAAGTATAGAGGGGAAAGATCAGAAAAATCATCACCCTGAAATATAATCTTCTGATGTATTTCTTCCTGGCGTTTTTGTTTGTTGTTTTTTGCATTTATATGAAGAAAAAGTGAGGGACAGGGCTGAACATCAGGATGGTGACAAGGGGGGGGCCTCGCTGCCCCCCCTTCTGTGACATCAGACCTCATGGCTTGAGGGACGGGTGCCTGGTGAGCAGAGCACACTGGGGGTGCCTGTCTGCTGTCAGGTGCGGGGACCTTGCTCCACCCAGGCAGCCTGAGCGGAGGCCATGGTGGCCCAACAGGTGGATAGCGGAGGGCGAGCGGCAGCCGAGCTGCTCAACCACAGAAGGGGCAGTCGCTGTGAGGACAAGAAGCAGGTGAGGCCAGGCCGGTGCACCTGCTCTCCCCCATCTGGGCTCAGACACACTGTCAGGCCCATGGCGTCAGGCGCAGGCTGTCAGCTCCACTCTGCCTGGAGCCTGAGCCGGTGGAACACAGCACGGGGGCTCAGGCGCTCCTTCCAGAAGCGTTACCAGCTCTTGCCTAATCCCAGCGCTGCCGGCAGGGGGTATGCTCGGGGAGGGCTGGGGTCTTTGTTGTGGCTGCTGCTGTTAATCCTCAACTGAGGATATTTTTTCAGTTTAAAATTGACTTTTAGAGAGAGCGGAAGGGAGGGAGAGAGACATAGAGAAACATCGATGAGAGAGACACATCAATTGGTTGCCTCCAACTAAGGTACGTGCCCTTGACCAGAACTGAACCCAAGACCCTTCAGTCCATGGGCCGACACTCTATCCACTGAGCCAAACTGTCTGGGCAAGGGGGTTTTGTTTAGTGTCCTGCTATATCCCTAGTGCCTAGAATGGGGTTTGGTGCTGAATGAATGAATGAATGAATGAACGAACGAACTGAAATAAATAGGATAATATACCTGAATTCGAGAGCTCTAGGAGCATTAGTTCTTAGGATTGAAATTCAAGCCTCACCTGGGATTTTTGTCAAAATAGAAACACTGTCCACAGCCTGGTGCTTCCACCTCCTCTCTCTTTCGTGGCATTTTACAACATTCCTGAGAGGTCGCTGCTGTGGATCTCACTCACAGATGGGTAAACTGAGGCTCAGAAAGGCAAAAAGGCCATACAGCCAGGATACGCTGGGGTTTGAAGCCAAGTCTATGTGACTCCGGACCCTTAGCAAGGGCCACACTGCACTCCACGGCCTCCCAGGTGGAGAGGTGAGGAGGGCTGGGGAGGGCGGCTGGGCCTCCCCCACCATGGGGGGGTGGGATTCTATTCTGAGATCAATAAGAAACCACTGAGAGGTTTTAAACAGCGCGATGGGTGACCGATCTATACATGTCTTCAAAAGATCTGCGCTCCGGTACCTCCTGAATGCGGGGCCTCGTGGCAAGATGGGACTTGAGGGGTCCCTCACACTGCGGCTCCTCCTAAGAAGCGTCCCACGGATACCAAAGCCTGGAATGCTCCTTGTAGGAGAATCACTAGAAGAGTCCTGTGGTTAGGGATTTACGCGGCTCATTCACATAACGGAGGCTCTGAGAAGTCCCGCAGCAAGGCAACTCACTTACTTCTGTTTACTGTGGCCTTTCCCACATCAGAGTCCCACCCCTCCTTTTTGAAAGAGGTACATTTCAAACCCATTCTGCAGATAAAGAAACTGAGGCTCAGAGAGAAGAAACGAGTTGGCTCTGGCCCAGGACATCACAAAGAGAGAGACTAAAATGTACTTCTAGGCCCAGCCCACCTCACCTCCTCACCTCTGCGTCCACGGGACATAAAATAAAAACTGAGCAGCGAGAATGCGGATGGGAAACAGCCAGCCTGTAAGGTCGGAGGTTGAAGAGATGGAAGAGCATTCAGACCGCTCACCAGACAGTTTAAAGAATGAGGTGGTTCTAAGTGTTTTACATTAAAAGATTCGCAGGGCATCCCATTTGACCCAGTGATCCCACTTCTAGGTATATCCCAAGAAACTAGAAACACCAATCAGAAAGGCTATATGCACCCCTATGTTCATAGCAGCACAGTTTACAATAGCTAAGATTTGGAAACAGCCTAAGTGCCCATCAGCAGATGAGTGGATTAGAAAACTGTGGTACATCTACACAATGGAATACTATGCTGCAGTAAAAAAGGAGTTCTTACAATTTGCAGCAGCATGGATGGAACTGGAGAGCATTATGCTAAGTGAAATAAGCCAGTCAGAGAAAGATAAATACCACATGATCTCACTCATTTGTGGAATATAATGAACAACATAAACTGATAAAAAAAAAAAACAGATCCAGAGACAGAGAAGCATCGATCAGACTGTCAAACCTCAGAGGGAAGGTAGGGGAGGGTGGGGGTAAGGGGGAGAGATCAACCAAAGGACTTATATGCAAGCATATAGGCCTAACCAATGGACACAGACAACAGGGGGGTGAGGGCATGAGTGGGGGAGGATGGGGGGTAATGTGGGGATAAGGACACATATGTAATAACTTAACCAATTAAAAAATTTTAAGAAAAAGAAAAAAGATTCCCAGGGGATACTGTGGAGAAGAGAAAAAGCACCTCATCGAAGTGTACAGAGCAATGACTCTCACACTGGGTGTACCCACGTGGGCAGCCACCACCCAGATCAAGCTACAGAACATTCTGGTACCCGGATGGCTCCTTAGGCCTCCACGTAGCCAGAGCCCCACCCACAGCGGGGTTCTGATGTCTTTCATCGCCGATGAGTTGTGCGTATGCGAGGATTTCATGGGGATGAAATCAGTGCGCACCTTTGTGTCTGGCTCCTGTCACTCATCGGTGGGTCTGCGGGCTCAGCCCGTTGTGATTTATTGTTCGTTTTGAAGTTAATAACAAGAACATAGCTGCTGGTCTATCCAAAGAAAACTACCCAGGGGAGAGCCAACTTAGGCCAGTCTTTTGTCTTCTTTGTTGTGGTAGCGGGGCGAAGTCTTGCCTCACGAACTCGAGAACGTAAGAAACATACTGGTACGGTTTCAAGTCGGATCAAATCTGGCTCCGTCCACATCTGGTGAGTTTGAGGAAGATTCGATGTCAGCCCACACTGTCCGCCTCAATCCCCCGTCCATGTCTGCTTGCCCCTGACACCGTCAGTCTCACTGCCGGTGAAAGCAGGTGTGTCTGAATCCCTGTGCCAGGGGGAAGGAGGGAGCTGACTGCAAAAAGGCATAAAGGAACGTTCTAGAACGATGGAAATGCTCTTTATCTTGATTGGGGTGGGAGTCCACAGGTATAGACGTTTGTCAAAACTGTAGATTTAAAAGGTGTGCATTTTAGCCTGGCCAGTGTGGCTCAGTGGCTGGGCATCAGCTCATGAACTGGAGGTCACGGTTCAATTTCTGGTCAGGGCACATGCCCAGGTTGCGGGCTCCGTCCCCAGAGTGGGGCGTGAAGAAGGCAGCCCATCAATGATTCTCTCATCATGGATGTTTCTCTCTCTCTCTCCCTCTCCCTTCCTCTCTGAAATGGATAAATATATATATTAAAATGTATGCATTGTATTGCACGTAAACTACGCCACGATAAAGTGGATTTCGTTTAAAGATCCTTTCAAACAAAAGGTGTAAAAGTGAGGCGAGGAATGAGACAGAAGCGGGCCTTCACTCTCAGCAGCGAGGAGAGCGGGAAAGCAGCAGTGAAGTGCCGGTTAGCTGCCACGCTGTGTCTGCAATGCGTGGGGGTTCTGCAGTGAGCATGTGACTTAGGTAACTGGGGAAACGTTAAGCTCGAAAGACAATCTTATCGCTGCCCCATGCCCAGTTCTCCGAGAGAAGCAGGTGCCCATCTGCCCCCCAGCAATTTACCTGCCCCCTCCTCCTCTTGCCCGCAGACGCTGTTGGCGCTGCTGGTCTTGGTGCTGTACGTGAGCTCGGGGATATCAGGTGAGCCTTCTGCAGTCTGAGAAAGGAGAAGCCAAGGCCACACAGAGTCGTGAGGGGTGTTCTGGAGCTGGCCGCATGCCAAGGCGGTCTCGGCGCTTGCCTTCTCCCACCGCCCTTCATCCCACTGGGGGGACCAACCACGTTTATGTCGACTGCCATTCGTTGGCCCTTGTGAAGAGGTGTGTCTGTGCCCGTTTCAGGAAGAAGTTGGGAGATGTCAGAAAGGATCAGAGAATGTAACTACCAGAATCCTGTGGCTTCCCAGGTAACATACTCAGGAAGGTCCTGAAGGGAGGACAAGCCTGGCTGAGGAAATCTGGGAAGGCTTCCTGGAGGTGGCATTAGTGAGCTGGGTCTTGAAGGATAAGTAGGAGCTGGAGACCATGGGGAAGGGTATTCCAAGCAGAAGGAGTAGCACCTGCAAAGGCTCAGGGGACTTTTTGAAACCAGTGGCAAAGGAGTCTACGTGGAAAAGCTCCAGATGTAACTTTGGTGTCTGCCTTTCAGGGGTTTGAACACCAGACCAAGGATCCCTCGAAAGAGCCGTTAAAGGTCGTCAGGACTTGGTTGAAGGAGAACTTGCAAGTTTTCCTGGAAAAGCTGGAGAAAGAGGTGCGAGAGCTGGAGCAGCTGGTGCGGGACCTGGAAGAGTGGCTGGATGTCCTTCTGGGCGAGGGGCGCCCCGAGGAATCCTGCTCCTCCTTCAGAAACCGTTTGTGAGGGGCCAGGGCTGGGACCCGGCGGGAGGCCAAGGAGGCAGGGGAAAGGCTTGCCAGGGGCTCCCCTGAGTAGGGCTAAGCTGTGATCCCTGAAGTTCAAGGCGGGCAAAAAAAAAATAGAATAGTTGGGACTCTAAGATGCTGTTGGTGCTGCTGCTTCCTGACCGCTAACACCACCAGGAGGACCCAGGGCTCTGCTGAGCTGTCCTCCCTCCTACAGGACTCTGGCCCTGGGAGATCAGCGCGGCTTCAGAGCCAGCCCCGGGCCAGGAGCCGTCTCTCCCACTTACCTGGGACTTTGTGCCAAATTCCTTAACACCTCAGACAAATTGCCTCATTAGTGAGAGCCAGGGAAACAAGCTGCCTCACAGGGTAACAGTGGGGATCAAACATGTATAGATATAGTGCGTCTGGCACAGTGTAGGTCCCCAGTAGTATACATGTGTGCATATTATATTTAGATATTACATTACATATGTGTATATATTTTATATTACATATAAAATACAGCTATAGATTTCTTTTAAATGGTTTTTCAACTAATTAGAGAGAGGAAGAGCAAGGGAGAGAGAGGGAGGGAAACATAGATATAAGAGGGGAACATCGATGGGCCGCCCCCTGCATGCCCCTACTGGGGATCTAGCCCACAACCTGGGCATGTGCCCTGATCAGGAATTGCTCCAGCAACCTTTCAGTGCAAGGGACAATGCCCAACCAACTGAGCCACCCCAGCCAGGGTATATAGATGTTTTTATAAAATGTATATAAAAACCAGGGGCCACAACTGTCAAATCTCAGATGGAAGGCAGGGGTAGGGGGTGGAGGGGTGGGAGGTAAGAGATCAACAAAAAACTTGCAGGCATATATACATGACCCATGGACACAGACAATAGGGTGGTGGAGGCCTGGGAATGGGGGAGGGGGAGGGCGGGTTATAGAGGCTCAATGGGAGAAAAAAGGGGACATATGTAATACCTTCAACAATAAAGATTTTTATTTTTTATTTTTTTTTAATATATTTCTTTGTTGATTTCAGAGAAGAAGGGAAAAGGAGAGAGATAGAAACATCAATGATGAGAGAGAATCATTGATTGGCTGCCTCCTGCACGTCCCCCACTGGGGATCAAGCCCACAACCCAGGCATGTGCCCTTGGCCGGAATTGAACCTGGGACCCTTCAATCCGCAGGCCGATGCTCTATCCACTGAGCCAAGCCGGTCCGGGCAACAATAAAGATTTTTAATAAAATAACCAATAAACTAGGGGCTACATTAAAAAAGAAGCTAACGCCTGGGTCCTTGAGGAGGGCAACGGCTCCAGTGGGTAGGAGCAGAGCCTTGAGCCCGGGAGGAAATGCCCCGAGGGCTGTCGGCCACCAGCCGCGGCCCCCACACAGGGACAGCCCATGCTGGTGTGGCCCCGACCCCGGACGCCAGTTACTCTTGTTTCACTGCTCTGTGAGCCCATCAGCACAGCCAGCCACTCCGGGTGGCTCAGGCCGTGAGGGTCATAGTGGCCTAACAAGGGAGCCACCATCTCATGGAAATCAGAGCGTCCCATGGCCTGGGATGATGGAGGCGGGAACAGGAGAGTCCCAGGCACCCACGAGGGGCTCCAGGTGCCCTCGCAGCACGAAGCCGGCAGCTGCCCCCTGCGTCCCGCCTTCTCCTGGACTGGCCGCTGCTCCCCTTTGTGTGTCTGCCCATCTCCTCCTGCTTCCGGGACACAGAATTGTGTGAGATACACATTCAAAGGCTGAACACAACTGCTGGACCACTGGAGTCCCCACAGGGGCGCAGTCAGCCCAGCAGGCTGGGTGTGAAAGACACAACGCCACACGTAAGAGGAGGAGGACGACCTTTCATAACTGTGAGGCCTGTTGTCGCTTGAGTGACGTTAGCAAAATGTCGCCCAGGGGGACCCCCTTTCGTATCCACAGAGTGGATTTCTTTCTAGAGAGGAACGACTTCTCCTCGAGAAGGCAACGCCGGCTCCCTCCTGTCCAGCAAGAGATACTGATGGGCAGCAGACGAGTGGATAAAAAAGCCGTGACACATTCACACCGTGGAATACTTTGCAGCAGGAAAAGAGAAGGATCTCTCACCTTTTGAGCCCGCATGGAGGGACCTGGAGAGGATTATGCTAAGTGACATAAGCCAGTCAGAGAAAGACAAGTATCACATGACCTCACTCATATGTGGAATCTAATGAACAAAATAAACAGATAAACAAAATAGATCCAGAGACATAGTTGCATAGAACAGACTGCAGAGCCTCACAGGGAAGGCAGGGGAGGGTGGGTGGGTGGGCAGAGATCAACCCAAAGACTTATATGCACATATGCACGGCCCACGGGCACAGACAGTAGGATGGTGAAGGCCTGGGGCAGGGGGCGGGGGCGGGGCGGGCTGGAAGGGGCCAATGGGGAAAGAAAGGGGACATATGTTATACTTTTTTTACTTTAAATTTTTAAAACAATAAAGATTTAAAAATTTAAACTAAAAAAAAGAGAGATACTGATGGGGCCATGCATGCGCAGCCACTGGTGAACAAGAAGTTTACAGGCTGATGGGAAAACAAAAAACAAGTGGAAAAGTCAGGACAAGGCCATTTCGGAGAAGGACACGTGCAAGAGGGAACCGAGGCGGCCACGTGCCCAGCCGCTGCAGCCTTCGGGGCACATGGAGGGCGGAGCAGGGCCGAGCGGGAGAATCAGGACGCCGTCTGGTCTGACAGCGCGGTGAGCGGGTGCTGATGGGTGGGGCTGAAGAGAAGGGTCCCCAGAGCTGCTCCCCAGGCCTCAGGACTTCCCCTCCTTTCAGAGGAGAGGAACCTGAGCCATGATTCCGGTCCCGACCCAAGCAACCCAGGACCCAGGAGGGCCAGATGGAGGAGACAGGCCTGGTCTTGTCGAGGGGCGAGGGGCCAGCTGGAGAAATGTCACGCCTACTCATTATCTAATGTTTCAGGCACCTGGAGCATGAGGTCAGCATCGCAAACAATAACTTTTCATTAATTTTAATTGATGGTTTTCTCTCCCTTTTAATTAATAGATCTATTTGGCAGCCTTGCGAATGCTCCCGCAGGCTCCTTGGTGAACACTGATGCACTCTGCATTTTATTTTGTTGTATTGCTTGGGGTCAGCTTCCTTTCTGTTCCTTCAACTTATAGAATGCGGGGGGGGGGGGGGGCGGGGGGTAGGGAAGGGGACACAGTCGTTCAGATAACCCATGAGCTAAAGATGAGAATGTGATCATCTAGACAAAAACTGGATTCAGGAAAGACCGCCTGTGTATTCGCCATGTGCACTTCTTAAGAATATAAGGACTAGTGGGAAGAAATCCTGAAAGTGTGGCCACGGAAACAGCTGCATTGTTTAAAGAAAGCTCCCCGTGTTCCTGTTTCCAGGGCTTGGCCAAGTGTTATTGTCGTTTCCAGTTTACGGAGGGGGAACTGAGGCTTGGAGGGATTTGCATCAGTGTTAAGCTCATCTATACTAATAAAAGGGTAATATGCTAATTAGACCGGGTCGACCAGACATCTTCCGGATGTCCGACTTCCTTCCAGACAAATCCGAGGGAGCAGGGGCTGAGGCAGAAGTGTTTAGGGGCGATCAGGCCTTCAGGGGAGAGCAGCTAGGGGTTGGCCAGGCCAGCAGTTGAGCAGTTAGGGGGCAGCCAGGCTGGCAGGGGGGCAGTTAGGGGGCAACCAGGCCAGCAGGGGAGCAGTTAGGGGTGATCAGGCCGGCAAGCAAAGGCAGTTAGGGGCGATCAGGCAGGCAGATAGAGTGCTTAGGGGTGATCAGGCAGGCAGGTAGAGTGCTTAGGGGTGATCAGGCAGGCAGGCAGGCGAGCAGTTAGGAGCCAGTGGTCCTGGATTACAAGTCGGACATCCCCCAAGGGGTCCCAGATTGGAGAGGGTACAGGCCAGGCTGAGGGACCCCCACCCCTGCACAAATTTCGTGCACCAGGCCTCTAGTATACTCAGTAAGTGAAGAGCCAGGATGCAAACCCAGGCTGTCTGGCGTCAATGACCAGCGGTCTTTACAGCCTCGCCTCCACGAAGCCCAGCCAATTTCTCTCTCTCTCAAGAAATTCTCATTGTATTTATTGTTAAGTAATCACATTCCAATTAAGTTTGTAAGACAGTAAATATCCATTGCATGCAACTACGTGTCGGTACAGATGGAGAGAGCAGTAGAAGCTCCCTGTCCACATAGAGCCTGTCTTTCTACCGGGAAGCCCAGAAACGAGGACGGGAAAATGAAATGTCCGCATTGTTCTACGAGCCATTGGGCCAAGTGCCAGAGGCACCTCACTAATTGCCAAGCGAGCTGTAGATTGACTGGCCGACCTAAGAGTGCAGAGAAGTGATAGGGTGCTTAAGTTGGCACTAACATGGAAAGCTGCTAGTTCAGTTATAGAAAAAGGCTGGAGCTTAAACTAAGCTATGGCCAGGGGAAACCGTGGGGAGAATTGAAGAGGGATGAATGGTGGGTGGGTGGGTGGGTGGGTGGGTGGGTGCAGAGAGGGGCCTTCCCGCTAGACTCGCATCTCAGTTATGGGTGCTGTGGCCCAGCCTAAACACAGGTCCCAGGTGAGAGGGAGCAGGCTTCCTTCCCAAAGGCCTTTGGTTGAATCTGATTTTTAAAAATACCCTTGAGACCTCGCCGGTTTGGCTCAGTGGATAGAGCATCAGCCTGTGGACTGATTCCAGTCAAGGGCACATGCCCCAGTTGCAGGCATGCAGGAGGGGGGCATGCAGGAGGCAGCTGATCAATGATTCTCTCTCATTATTGATGTCTCTATCTCTCCCCCTCCCTCCCTCCTTCTCTGAAATCAATAAAAATATATTTAAAAAATACCCTTGAGAAGCAGAGATTCGGGCTCCAGTGAAATGATTCCAAGACCAGGAAGGAAGGTCCATTTCCAGTCTGTATGTCACATGTTTGATGGTGTCAAATAAAAATGTGGATTTAATTTGTTCCCTTAATCCACAAAT